TCTCGACTGCAGCCCCAGCCCCACAAGAGGAGGAGCCACCACCCCAGCCGATCCTGGGCGAGCTCACGGCCTCCCAGGTCACCTCTGACTCCGTGCAGCTGGAGTGGAGCGTCCCCGAGGGCACCTTTGACTCCTTCACGGTGCAGTACAGGGATGCGCAAGGGCAGGCGCAGGTGTTGCCCGTGGCCGGTGGCTCGCGCACGGTGAGCGTGGTGGGGCTGTCCCCGTCGCGGCGCTACAAGTTCAACCTGTACGGGGTGTGGGGTCGGAAGCGCCTGGGCCCCGTCTCCACCGACGCTGTCACAGGTGAGGACATCTGCGGGCCCCGTCTGTGACCCTGTGGGCCCTGGTTGCTGTGGGGCTGGAGCCCGTTGAGTGGGAAGATCCCTTGGGCATTGACCTGGGGAGGGAGGTGGGGAAGGGCCCGTGCAAGGTCGGAGAGTGGAATGGAGGGAGGGAGGCTGGTTTGGAGGAATGGATGGGTGGGTGGGTGGTGAATCGGTTGATTGGATGGATAGACATCTGAAGGGATGGCTGCCTGGAGAGATGGGTGTTTTGATGGATCATGAGTGACAGGATGGTTGGGCAGAGGAATGGATTCATGGGACGTAGGCTGGGATGGTGCATGGAAACGTGGTTGATTGGGTGGATGGAGGCATGGCGGGTTGGACGGGGAAAGGGAGGGAGAGAGGGTTGGATGGCCAGGTTGGGAAAGGGCCTGGTGGGTGGATGAAGAGAGTGATGACCACGTGGGTGAAGGAATGGCTGACATGGTGGGTGACCAAAGAGCTGCCTTACTGAGTAGCCAGGTGGCCGGTAAGGTGTTTGTTTGGGTGCTTTGGGCGGTGCTTGGAGGATTCGGTGGGTGAATGGACAGAGAGATGGTGAGCGGAAGGATGCCTGTGTGGGTGGTTGGAAGGCTGATGGGAGGAGCGGTGTGGAGGACGGCTGGAAGAAGGGGTGGGTGGGTGCTTGGGGTAACAGATGAGTGTAGGGATGATGAGGTGAGTGTATGCGTGGATGATGGATGAACGGTTGGGTAGAAAAAAGGATGGATGGCCGCTGGGACAGAGCCATGGATGTTTATGGCCTGCACTGTGTTCTCTCGACTGCAGCCCCAGCCCCACAAGAGGAGGAGCCACCACCCCAGCCGATCCTGGGCGAGCTCACGGCCTCCCACGCCCCCTCCGGCTC